TTATTACAATACGTAATTGTCTTATTCGAATATGAAATGTTTCTAAAATCATTGAAAAGCTTAGGAAACTTATTTTGAGAAGAATTCCAAAATGAACTTTATCAAAATCGACTGCTAAATGGATTCTCATAGCATTTGATCGATTTTCTGAATCGTAATGAAAATATGTAATTGTTTGTGCTTTATCTGGAACTCTAGAATTATAATTTATTGGAAGCGAGCCACCAAGACAGAGATGTTAGAAATACTGATAGATTGATTTCTCGTTTTGGAAAAATACAGAATTCTATTCAGAGAAGCCTGACTTAATCTGTTTTGTTCTAGATGAAATTAAATAATGAGGGTATTTTCACAAAAAAATCAATATTGACCAACTCGAATTTCATGCAAAAATTAAGGATGTGAGTATAAAATTGAGACTTAACTCCCTGTTTAGAAAAGTATAGAGTACGGCAAAATTGAAAATGTATACCAATCTTCATCTTCCATGAAAAGAGTAGCTCTAGACTAACATTGATATTCTTAACCATTAGGATTCAACCATGACCCATTTTTATATGCTATTAAAGATATATAAATTGAAAAACAAAAGAATTTTCCACAAGAAAGTATTCGAAAGTTTTCTCTCTTGTTCTGAAACAATACAATCAGAATCACAAAAGTAGCCAATAGGTTTTCTTGGATTAGGGATGAAGAACTAACTGATCAGTGACGAGACAAAGAGATATGAGTTCTAGTTTTCTAATATTCTATTATTTCTATTATTGTGACTGAATAGATTTTCATGCTCTTGCATAGGCGGCGGAGCCACGAGGCCTGGGTAGGCACGAGCCTACCCTATGTTGGAGAGGTAAAGGCTTGGGTAGGCTCAGGTAAAGGCCTGGGTAGGCTCAGATAAAGGCTTGGGTAGGCTCAGGTAAAGGCCTGGGTAGGCTCAGATAAAGGCTTGGGTAGGCTCGACCAAGTACAGATAAAGGCTTGAATAGGCTCGATTTAATGCATAAGTTTTCTAATATCAGTTAATTTTCACTTTTTTCCGACAGATGATGCGTTATTAAAAGGTCAGTCTGCATTTTATCTATTACAAACTCATGTATAGAGGCATAATGATTGGTTTTCGTGGACGCCTATATCTACGTCAAATTCTTTATTTTCAACATAAAGTAGTTTAACTGTTGTTATGAACTTCTATTCAAAATAACTTTTGAATTTTAAGTAATAAAGAACAGTACACTTTCATAGGCGACGGAGCTTCAAGGCCTGAGTAGGCTAAAGTTCATCAAAATTCAAGTTTCATAGCCTAAGAGAGACTCAAATAGTCGTTTCTCACTCTATCAGATTGACAAACTTGCTTGCGGTTTGAAAGGTTTTGCTGTCATTACTGGCAACTACTAGCATTTTTAGGAAAAAAAGTGAGTTTCCTATGACTAAGTGTTGTGGTAAACATTAGCAATGAGCTCATGCCATAATGTTTTGTTATAAATGAAGAATAACCAAGGGGGAAAAGGCTGATTTAAATCAGCTGATAACTCACTTTAACTCACCTCAACTCACCTTAACTCACTTTAATTCACTTAACTCACTGTAACTCACTTAACTCACTTAACTCATCTTAAATCATCTTAACTCATCTTAACTCACCTTAACTCACCTTAGCTCACCTTAACTCACCTTAAGTCACCTTAAATCACTTAAATTCAGGAATCATCTTTAGGTGTATCAGTTTAAATAAGCAACTATTACTCATTTTTCTGTTCGATAAATTATTCAAAATCAGGAATTCTGTTTTGATAAGTACTTGTGCAATTTCTGAATGGAATCCAAGTTTATATTTTTATACGGGATATGTAACAATTATCCGATAGATTCCACTGAAACAAGCCAAGTCATGTTTGTATGTACTTGTCGGATACTGATTTCAAATAATCGGTTAGAAAATTTACTATATCCTTGTCAGTGGAGTTATAAAACACGTGCTTTGATTAGTGATAAAATACATTTACAAATAACTTCTTCTATCCGTTTAACTAGAATAGAACGAAACAGAAAGAGATAGTGTTCTGCTCAAGGCCTATATTTAAATAAGACGGACGGACCGAAAATACTTGCGTTCTTTTTCTTTTGTTTTGTTTTCGTCTATAAGTCATTCATTTTCATCTCAGTATGGTTTGTGTATAACATATTTTCTGTTCGTTTTCGATTCGAAGAATAGGGAGAATTAAAGTTAACACTTGAGTAACAGTACCCAATCGAACACAGTTTTGAGAACATATACAACATATGAAGAAAGTGTCAGAGTTATTGCCTGTCAACTTTTTCAAAACTAAAGAATTTGAAATATTTGAAGGATTAATTTAAAACAATGCTATAGCCTGACGTACTAGAATAGAAAAACAGAGGGTTTCAGTATATAACATTCATTTGGTTTCAATCAGAAAATATATTCTCCTTCATTTCAGCAGCATTCTGTATGAACAACGTTTGTTTTCTTGGACTCTTTTTGTACATTTTATTTCTATTCATGCAAAAAGGTGTTCTCATTTGTATATGCATGTCGTACGTATTATAAGTACAATTTGTTATAATTTATCGCTTTTATTCGGATAGTTTTGTATTTCAGATGACTTTTTCACTTCCTACTAACACACTTTATCTGCGGGGAGATCCTTTTTACCGCATTGTTGATGAGTTTTGCGGTTCAGAGGCTCTCGAATTACTTCGGTTTCAACTAATCGATTCTTCAATGGATCTGCTTGAAATAAACGACGTTTTCTCCATTCTTCAAATGGAATCAGATCGAACAGTGGCACTTAAAGAACTTTTGGGTGTTTCTGGTAAAGATCAAGTCGGAAATTATTCGTTCTTTGTCATGCCAGGTATTCGTTTGAAGATAGCAAAATTTATTCGTTCGCTCCGTTCTCTCCTTCCATCAACGAATTCTTCATCTCAATCTACTATTAAGACTTCAACAATATCATCTGATCTTCTACAACAGTATCCATTATTGAATGATCTCATCTATTGTCTGGAATCAAACTTATTAAACGATTTGACATTAGACATCATTTCTAATATGATATCTAATTTGGTACATTCTAAAAACTTATTTCGTTATAAGCAATCTGTGAAAGACTTCGCTGCTTGTCTCTACATTTTGGGTGGACGTACCGTCTTTGAGTTTATACGTCTAAACATACCAGGTTTCATTCCTTCCTTACCTAGTCTTCGACCGATTCTTCAATCATCGAAATATCACTTCATCGAAGGTGTTTTTCAATATGATCATTTAGCGGACTTTATCAAACCGTTTAATTGTAAGTACGCATTTTGTGGAGAAGATAGTACTTCCGTCGTTCCAAAAGTGTCATACGATATACTTTCTGATTGCTTCGTTGGTTTCACGCTTCCTCTGAAACATGGCTTTCCTTGTCCTCGTTATTTTTCAACCAATTCATTCAGTGAACTGGAAAATTGGTACAACGAGGTCGATGTGTCCTTTAATATCAACGTTCATATTATCCAAGGATTATGTTCTATTGGACAAACATCACCGCCACCGTTCCTCCTTGGAGGTTATGGTACAAACAGTAAACACACGGCTCTAGATGTTCTGAAGAGGTGGATAAATATTTTTGATTTATGTATGGCTCAAAATCTCCGAATTTTGGGATTCTCAACTGATTGTGATGCAAGGTATATGAAAGCTATGCGCGACTCAATGGGATTCTTTTCAAAGTTTGAAACTGGTTTTGAGAATCACCCCAATCATTTTGAAATTTCCATGCTGCAGGTGAGTAACATAATTTGGATGAGGATGATTTTGTCAACTTTTAATACTGAAATAGATTTTTTTCACTAGAAGAGTATAATTTTTCTTATAGGACACAAATCATAGAGATTTTTTTATGAATTCAATAAGCTTTTCATGTTTTGCATCATTTAGAATACCTCATGGTTTTTTTTGAAACCACATCAAATATTTGTCTGTTTACAAGATGGTGTACACCTTTGCACGAAGTTACGTAATCGTTTATTAGCTGCAAATGTTGTTTTGTTAATGGGAGAACAATATGCGAGTGTTAGTTATCTTATTGAATTGATTGAAAATTGTTCAAAGATAGATCACGGTCTAGTGATATCCGATGTTTATCCTAAGGATAAACAGAACTTCGCATCATGTGTAAAAATCTCAAGCAATGCTGTTTTGAATGTTCTCAAGAAAATACCAAATTCTGAAGCAACACAAATATATCTTCAGGTAATATTTTAGTGGTACATCTATATAGGGCATAGTAAAGTACCTTTATAATGAAGTTATATTTCTTGAAACTGTAAGATATACAAGGAACGTTAGGAAAATTTGAATGCGAAATAAACTTCAAGTTATTGAATTGTGTTAGTAATGAGATCGAATTTTCTTAAGTAGTTCTGAAGGCTAACATATTATAAACTATTTTTAATAGATCATCCAATTTATACGTTTTGCTTACGTTGATAAAAGTCCTAATATCATTGATCGTCTCTACTATGCATGGTGCGCCGTATTTATTGTTCGTATGTGGTCTATATGGATTGAAAGTACACGTATTGCTGACCTTAAAGAGAAAATATCACAATTGTTTTCAACTGATTCTAACTCTATAACATCTAAATCAAAGTTATTTATCACCATACCTGCTCTGTTCTCAATCGAATTGAATGCACATAGTTTGACATACCTTGCTGTACTCGTAGCGGATCAACAAATAACTGAAGAGGCGTTAAATATTTCTTTATTTAATTCGCAAGTGTGCGAAGCCACCTTTCGTGCAGCGCGTTCGATGTCTGGTCCATTCTCATCCGTCGTGAATTTCTCTATTCATGAGTTTCTTCAGCGTGTGGAGAAGCTCGCTGTTTTACAACGAATCAAGTGTTCTTCTGATTCCAATGAAAATAGTATTGTATTTCCGAAACACCACAAGCAACATCGACAAACTTTCTCATCATTATCAACATCCGTAATGACAACTCCAATTACAGAGAAATTACTTGAAGAAACAGTTTTTAGTGCTTTTATTTATGCTAGTCAAATTCTTTCTAAATGTAAACTCTCAATTCTTGATCTCGATGGCAAAATGATTTCTTTTGAGGAGGTGAACCAACTAGCATTCAAAAAATTAGCAAGGTCAAAATGTGAAAGTTCTAAGAAAAAAACCACGGAATCGAAAAATGAGAATGCAGCAGCAGCAGCAAGAACAGGAGACGAAGATGATGACGAAGATGAAGTAGAACAAGAAGAAGAAGAGAATGATGATGATGAGCGACGATCTAGCAAGAATCATGCCGTTGATGAATCTGATGATTCGATATCAATCAATGAACTTGATCTTGATATTCTTCCAGATGTGTCGAGTTCTACAATTCATGGAATGCGCATTTTTGATTCAATAAATCAATGTCAATCTACATCCTTCTTTCCTGTTGACATTAATGGAGTGAAGAAATTTATGCACAAGCAAACCGCCAATTGGTATTTCTCAAAAACGAAACCTATTGTGTCTTCTGATCGACTGAAAAGAGTTCAGAACAAACATTAACATCTAATATATGTTTTCTTTTATACACTATATTTCTGTAATAACAAGAGAAGAATGATCAGTGTCACTTTCCACTGCTATGTTTTGGTTAGTGCACTAATGTGCAATCCATATTTTGCATTGATAATA